TGTCGTTGTTTCGCATCGATTTGCTTTTGTAAAATTCCTGAGGCCCGTACGCGACCAAGTTTTCCACGGTGCACGCAGACAAAGGGAATGTACGCGAAAATTAAATTTCTGTTTCGAACGTGTGTACGTCCCGTATCCTTCATGCTGCTCTCTCTCCCTTTACTCCCTGCCTGTACCGTAATCAAAGTTCTGTTAGCGTGGCCTACTCAGAACAGTAATATGTATTTGACGACGATCGGAAGCGATCATTCCATGGAAGAGAATTTCGATTTCCAGCGACCATCCTTCGTTCTTCACGGATTCACGCTGAAGCGTTATATCGTAACGAAGAAACTGAAGTTTGTAGAAAGTTGTTAAAGATAGGTTTACATCGAACCGACGAAAAAGCAGAATAGTTTCTTAATCGTTAACTTTAACCTTATAGACTAACTTACACTGTTTACAACGTTCACAATCGTGTACCGGTATGGATACCGTAATTACGAATGTATTTATTACAACTTAATTTAAACAATTAGTTTACACTTTTACACTGGGGTTAGATTTTGCGTATAGGCTAGAGAATGTGTCGCGAGCGCCGTGGTCCGACTGACAGCTAACTAACTGATCGATGGCGTTCGGTCGATATTTATGTTTACGTGGTTTCTCGAAACGTCCGAACTCGAAAGTTCGCTATTAGTCTGCGTCGACTTGAACGTCCGTTTAGTGTTTACACACAGGCAAGATAGAGGATAGACAACTCTCAATGTCGTTTTTTTTTGTTCTATGGCTTAAGGACTCCGGGAGTCCCCTTACCATTTTAGTGTCGCTTCCAACGTTACCGATTCAGCGTAGAATAAGATTACTACATTCGTAGTGGTTGGAATGAAAACTAAATGTAAATAAGGTATGGAATTGTAAATAAGGTATAGGACAGGATTTCTGATAATCCGGTTGTTCTTACATGGGTGAATGAACAGAGTTGATTGGGACCGGTGATTCGGAACGGAAACTATTACGCTGATAATCTTTTTCCGATTTTCACGTGTCCTTACCGTATTTAGAAATTCTCATCTCCGAAACTATTGATCGGATGAACATGATTTTCTGTTTCTTTTCATCGGGAGAGTTTGTGCTTTGCAAATAATTAGTTTTTAATACAGAAAGCTATTTTTACTATTCCAAGATTATAAATAAACTTTTATTTTGCAGTTTTCTGAATAAAACGTTTTTGTAAATCTGAAAAAATATTGTATTTTAAATTTTAGGA